CGTGTACAAGTTCACCATCACCGCGCAGCGCGGCACGCTGTGGTGGCACGCGCACATCTCCTGGTTCCGCTCCACCGTCTACGGCGCCATCGTCATCCTCCCCAAGCTCGGCGTCCCCTACCCCTTCCCCGCGCCGCACAAGGAGCTCACGCCCGTCATCTTCGGTCAGTGCTGCTGCCATTGAAATGTTGCTGCTGGTCGAGATTAACTTAATTGTGATTTTGATCGTAAAAGTTGGCTTTTGTCTTGGATGGTGCAGGTGAATGGTGGTTGTCGGACACCGAGGCCATAGTCAGCACGGCCCTCAAGGTGGGCGGAGCCCCCAACATCTCCGACGCGTTCACGATCAACGGCCTTCCCGGGCCGCTCTACAACTGCTCTGCCAAGGGTACGTGCGTGCTGCGTTTTACCCAGCCTGTTCATGGCCTGCAGAAATTTACTGTGCAAAACGTAGAGCTGATATGAAAATAGCCAAACAGATAAAAAATAAAAGCGTTTGCAGACAGTTTGTGCTTCCGATGCATTTTTCGGTCTTGTACTGACGTAATCACCATAGGCAAGTACGCCAGGAGGTTTACCAATCAAAATCACCAACGAAAAGTGCATCGAGCAAGATTTCAGTGTTACTTCCTCGAAACGGAAAGGGAATGGTGCATAAGTTGTTTAGGTCATTGCAATGTTACCATCACCATAACCCCCCGGTGATCGATGCCTGACCTAACATTTGGTGCGCCTTAGCGATTGAATGCTGTTGGGGCTGGCCCGTGCTATGTGCTAAACAAAACATTAGCTACGCACTCACGCTACACCTTGGAATTGGACTGTGCAAGTCGTTTTCGGTCCTAGATAGATTCTGTAAAATACTACATACGCTAATCGACTAACTAGTTGCCGTGCATGCATGTACACGAACGCATGCAGACACGTTCAAGCTCAAGGTGGAGCCCGGGAAGACGTACCTGCTGCGCCTCATCAACGCCGCGCTCAACGACGAGCTATTCTTCTCCGTGGCCAACCACACGCTCACCGTCGTCGAGGTCGACGCCGTCTACGTCATGCCCTTCACCGTGAGGACCCTGGTCATCTCCCCGGGCCAGACCACCAACGTCCTGCTCGCCACCAAGCCGGCCTACCCCCGCGCCAACTTCTACATGTTCGCCAGACCCTACTCCACCATCAGGCCCGGCACCTTCGACAACTCCACCGTCGCCGGCATCCTCGAGTACCACAACCCCGGCTCACCCTCCGCGTCGAGCTTCGACAAGGCCTTGCCGATCTTCAAGCCGATGCTGCCGTACTTCAACGACACCAACTTCGTCACCAACTTCACGACCAAGCTCCGCAGCCTCGCCACAAAGCAGTACCCGGCGGCCGTGCCGCAGTCGGTGGACAGGCGGTTCTTCTTCACGATTGGGCTGGGCACACTGCCATGCCCCAAGAACATGACTTGCCAGGGGCCCAACGGCACGCAGTTCGCGGCGGCCGTCAACAACGTCTCCCTCGTGCTCCCGTCCATGGCGCTGCTGCAGTCGCACTTCACCGGCCTCACCAGCGGCGTCTACGCGGCCAACTTCCCGGCCATGCCCCTGTCGCCGTTCAACTACACGGGGACGCCGCCGAACAACACGCACGTGGCCACCGGGACCAAGCTCCTCGCGCTGTCGTTCAACACGTCGGTGGAGCTGGTGATGCAGGACACGAGCATCCTCGGCATCGAGAGCCACCCGCTTCACCTCCACGGCTTCAACTTCTTCGTGGTCGGGCAAGGGTTCGGCAACTACGACGCCGTGAACGACCCGGACAAGTTCAACCTCGTCGACCCCGTCGAGCGGAACACCGTCGGCGTGCCGGCGGGCGGGTGGGTGGCCATTCGCTTCCTTGCTGACAACCCAGGTAAACACGATTCTATACAATGCCCTAAGAACCAATAAATTTGTGAGATATTCATGTGTGCCGCTGCTGTTGTTGTGTATGCATGTGCAGGTGTATGGTTCATGCATTGTCATTTGGAGGTGCACACGACGTGGGGTCTGAGAATGGCGTGGCAGGTGCAGGACGGCAGCAAGCCGAGCCAGAAGCTGCTCCCGCCGCCGTCTGACATGCCCAAATGCTGAATGGACTTCATCACGGCTGATGTTTAATTTGCGCCTCCTCATTTTGATTTGCTCGCCAATCTGCGATTGTTTTCTCCCGCGGGAGATTTTAGTGTGTTTAGCCCGTTCATAGCTGACTTTCTTACGATTCTTTTTCCCATTTTTTTCACCACTTTCTGATGAAGATGTTTTTGATACTTGAATAAACAATGATGTGAACAATTGCACGGGAAAATATCAAAATATTTATTTTGTGAGCATGAAGTTTTTAGCCCACGGGCCCTGTGGTTAATACAGCCCAACTGAGAACCGTTCCCAAAAAAAGCCTGTGGTGGATGTTTGAACGTTGCACGGTCCAAGTCGCGTGCAAGCCCGTGAACCAGGAAAGGTGGGCTTAGTAGTACATTAGAGCCGATTCTAAAAAAAAGTACATTAGAACCTTGAAAACAAAATTACATTGAAACTGTTGTGCCGTGCTAAAAAAACTGTTCTGCTTGTCTCCAAAAAAAGGCGTCCTCTTTTCTCTGCGGGGTTAAAAGGATTTCATTACTCAACTGTTCGAATATTCGCTCCTACATAGCAGAGGAACGTTTGCAGGTTCAGAGCACAACCAAACTGCAGTGCACAACCAAACTGCAGTTCGGCCCTCTGATCGTTCGAAGAAAAGAAAAACTATACACTGAAGCGAGTCTAGCTATGCCATTTTCTACTGACGAGACCACAAGTTGCGCTCCTATGTTTCAGATTCGGCTCGTCGATAACATAATCAATCCTTTCCAGATCTCCCAGGTCTCTGCCTCACATGACGACCGCGCACAGGATGGACGAACGACTAGGCGAAACACTGTTCCCGCATATGACGCCTAACCTGTCCTTTACACCGTGACACCGGATTACTTTAACAAAGCCCACCGCCATCTCGCTGCACGATCGAATAAAATCTGCGGCGGCTGCGCCCTTGCATCCCGCTTGATCCTACCGAATCTAGCGGGAGCAGTATAATATTCAGGTATCTTCCGTCCGATTCGCCCGCGCGTGCCTCGATCGCAGCCAGGCCACGAACTGCTCCACTCCAGCCCCACAGATCAGGTTCGGCGAACCTTGCCAGCCTGATGACCTGGTGTGAACGGCATATCTTGCACTCCAGTCACTGGCAATTTGACACATTTTATCTCCGGTCACTCGCGATGAGCACGACATGCCTTTTGTCTGTAATTGTTATCGCGGAGCTGAGGTACCTTTCACGGTAACTTTCAGCGGTCACCGTCGCGGTGTTGTGTTGGACTGTAATTGTAATTTGTATCCATGGGTTTATCACAGACTTCTCTAGACTTGTAGCTCCTCCGGCTCTGGCCTCCGATAAGGCGTAGGTTCCCCGCAGCATCTGCGAAGTATCTACTACCATCGCTGTTGCAGCTTTGAGGTGTTTCTTCCTTGCAATGCAGGTGCAGGCGTGTCTAGATTCTTCTTTGGCCCAATCTTTTCTGCCATCTCCCCGGTGCATGAGGAATCGACCGTGCATACGGCAAAAAAGGAGGTTGCCTAAACTTTGGTCTGATTTTCAGGGGAAAGCGATGTCCATGGCGGGCGATCGGTTTCAGCCAGTTGCAGCAGCATCAGGAGGATCAATCGCGCCATCTGTCATGTCCAATAGTTTCACACGTTGCCGGCCATGTTCTTCTAGATGCCCAGGGCCTGGGTACACGTCCGGAGCTGTGGCATACACGTCTCCTGCTCCATCATGTACGTATTTATGTGGCCGTGGTTGTGTAGCACCTGTTGGTGGTTCGTCTGTTAATTCGCCAGGCTCAAAACTCAAAAGCAGCAAAAAGATGAGCGATGGATAAGCAAGCAAACTAACAGACAGGAATGCCGGTAGAACTTCTCTTTTGTTGCAGTTCAGGACGAGGTGTGTTTCTGAATGTGGACACTGGACAGGCAACTGAAAAAGACAAGGCAGACTGGAAAATGAGTTGTGGCTACAAAGCTCAAGAACCCAGTTTGCTGGCCTATATGAGCTTTCAATAAGATCTAAACGCTCTTACATTTCTTTACGGAGGGAGTATCAACTTGCCATTCGAAAACAAAACATCAACTTTAAATGATTCGATCTAATTGTTTCATAAAACACGTCATTTGATCTGGGTCCAAATGTATCATAGGAACCAACACTAAAGCACTTTTCACAGCACAATAAGTGAAAGGGCAAAAAATTCAGCCAATGGCTATGTCACTCAACGGACTGGGATTTTGTATTTCATTTTACTTATCTCAAACATTATTCGTTAGGTACAACAGCAGAGTCACATTTAAGTGACCAGTTACATTGTATCACCATCCGGGAAATGAAACCAACTACTGGTGACTGATAGCAATGTGCAGCATGTAAAACAAGATTAATGAGATAAGCACGAAAGACCAAACAGTAGAGGGATATATGGGCGCATGAGCTTGCAATGCAGAGAGGCATTCTTTACATGTTGGAAATCAAGACAAGGTGTATTTACAATTTGAATCAAGCAAATGAAAAAGGCTGACCATTACTGGCTGAGACGTTACTTGAAACATTACTGAATTGTACTCTGGAAGAACGAATATAATACAAGACTGACCATGCAAGAAGAACCTATATGCTACATCTAAACATAAGTAGCCTGCCCACCAAAAATGCTAACTGTTCCTGTGAAAACTAACCGTGCATAGGCAGCACATACAACAGGCAGATGCTACAGGAGAGTAATCAGGTTCATCATCTGCATCAACAAACAAATGAACCATGTCACTGGTGAACAAATGGTTGTCTCTTTGGTGCCGGTTCAAATAGCATTTTTACCTACTAATAGGTTGTTGGCCAGGAACAATCAGCTCTAGAGTCCAAAAATATGAACAGGTCACCATTTACAGAAGCTAGGAGGATTGGGGATTCGCCTTCCATGTTGAGAGCGCGTACAGGATACGCCCCTTCCATCCTTGTAGTAACCACCTGTTGTCCTCGTCGATGATGAAATTCTTGTGGTAGCACTTCACCTTCTCCCGTGCACGCTTCATGATTTCCGGGTCCAGCGGGAGCTGCTTGAACCCAGCCCTCTGATTCCGCACCTGCCACTGCTTGTAGGTCTCTGGCCTCTCCATCCTCTCCATTCCCTCACAAGATATGACATTAATTGCCTCCCGACTGAAAATAGTTGACTCAATGAGCAGCCTCTCCTCATTATCCCTGGGAATGTTAGCCTCCAACATGTCGAAGTGAGCAGAGAACTGGAACAATGCCTCACGGAAGCGTGAGACGAAGAATGGTGCATTGTAGGATCCATTAGTGACCCCATGAATGAACACATGTGGCTTCATCTTCCTTATTGTGTTCAATACCATGTTCCTTGGACTCTCAGCTACCACGCTCTCATCCATCAGAGTCTTGAACCTGAACATGCTGTTGACAATCAGAATCTCGTCCTTCTCAATGTGGAGATCCTCTACCCTAACAGCCTCAAATTGAGATGCGATGCCATGGTATTTGAAAGGGACTTTGAAGGTCTGAGCATAATCACTTAGATATCTTCCAATCTCCTCGATGCGCTCTGCTGGGCGAAAACCAGGCTGAGGTGTGTCTATTGCTGTGATCCGAAGTTCTGGGGGGCCTCCAAGCCTTTTACTTAGCCGTTGAATGAGACATGGCCACTGAAAGCCATAGTATACACCGAAGTCGACAATGTGAACTTTCTTGGCTTTCTCCACAGCATTCATAATGGTTTGATTGGCAAAGTAATGAGAGATCTTCTTGAATGGGCAAGCTGCTAAGTACAGTTGGTAGGCTTTCAGCACATCAGTGCATGCAAACCGTGATATGGTATGTAACTTGTATATCTGACTTCCATTACCAGCAAGCCTCGCCTCAAGGCCATTGGCAAAGCAGTGTGCCAAACGCTGGTCACCATCGCCAGTAGCAGATGCATGCTGCCTGATTTGCTTCAGGAGATCGGTTGCACTCCGCCGGTCATCAATGGAAACCGACTGCGCACAATGGATGAGGAGAGTCTCCAAGTCAACCACCTCCTTCTTGGGTTGTTTGACCTGTTTCTTGCCACGGCCCTTGCCATGGCCAGACCCTTTGCCATGGGCGCCACCTGAATGAGCTGCCACATCGTGCTGTAGGGCCTCACGCAGTTCCTTGACACCTCTAGAGCATGTCTCGCCGTTGCATAGCAAGACCTTGTCCATCATCTCCCGCACAAGGTGATCCGCGTCGACAACGGGCGCTGAATGCTTGCAGCATCTCACTTCATCTGCATCCAAGTCGTCACCGTAGAAATGCTTCTTTCCTCGGTGAATAGCTACTTCAGAATCAGCTTTCTCTTTCTTGACCTCCACAACCTTCTTATCTTCTTTAACCCAAACTGACGGTAAACTGTCGACGTCAATCACAAGCTTGCTCTCTTGAGGCAGAAATCTGCTGGCCTCTTCAAATCCTCGGCTGAACTGCGCTGCTTGTTGGCTCTGCAGAACAAAATCGCTCAAGGCAGCATCAGGCACAGCACCCGCCGTGCTGAGCCACGGCTCGAAGCCCTCTGAAAATGCAACGCTGCTGCCATTTGAAGACGCGAAGGACGACGACTGCGAGAGCAACGCGTCAGGAAGAGGGTTGAATTCCATGGCGTCGTACGGCGGCCATGCACCGCCAGCTTCCACCACGCAGCTCTCGGGGCTCAGATCCTGGTAGAACTGCGGCGGCTGCAGGAACTCCGCCGTGGGGAACTCGAGAGCGGGCGGCGCCTGCATGGCGCCGAGGCCACCACCGGAAGGCGCGGCACAGTTGCAGGAGCCGTGGCTGTTGAAGGAGTTGGTGGTGACGCTGCTGCCGTCGGGGCTCTCGACCGTGCTGCCGCCGGAGCAGGGCGGCTGGTCGGCGAGGATCTCGAGGAAGGGCTTCTCGGCGGCGAGCAGCGCGGGGTGGGCCGGGTAGTGGTCGAACTTCTCGTCGATGTCCTCGGCCATGAGCATGCGGTTGATGTAGCCCAGAACAATGTCCGAGAACACCTCCGAGTCGTCCGGCTGCGGATGCGCCTGGCCCGCCGCCGCCGCAGCCGGCGAAGAGGCCGAGCCCGAGGCGTCTCTCGGTGGCGGCGGCGACGCGCTGTCGGCGGAGGCGGCCGGGGAAGGGAGCAGGGGCGGCGCCGCGGCGGCATTCGGGCAGGCGGCCGCGTCGGCGCCGTCGGACGGGAAGAGCAGCAGCGACTCGAGCTCCTCCGCGGTGAACCCGTCGGGGATTTGGGGGTAGGCTGGCAGCTTGGATCCGCCGGGCAGCGGCCCGCACCAGTCGCGCAGCGCGGCGTCCATGACCATCGATACGCCGCCGCCGCCGCCGCAGAGCATGCAGTTAAGGCAGACAGATATTCCAATCTCCCACCTGGCAGATGCGCAAAAACAGAAGGAGATCAGCGCGGAATCCACGCGACGGCCGATTCGACTCGGCACTGACGAGTAGAGACAGACATCGGGGATCTGCCGACGAGCTCCGACGGCGCGTACCTGCGTGGCGTCGCGACCCGAGGGAGGTGGCGGCCAGACGAGTTGTGCGAGCGAGCGCGGGGAGGGGGCGCGACGGGGGAGGATAAATGGGGGAGAATGGAGGCGGAGTGGCGTTTTTGAGAGGCGCGGGATCGGCCTAGCCCTACGGCCTGGTCCGCGGCGAAGTGTCGACACCCAGCCACGCGGGCGTGGCCCGGCTGCGTGGTGCGCCCCGTCCACGTCCGTCCGCGGGGTGAGCTCACGCGCAGCTGGATGGCCTGCGACGGGCGGTGCGGAGGCGTACGTGGTGGGTCGGGTGCACGGAGGGGGCGCGGAAGTTTCGGCGAACCATCGTCTTGGGCCGCACGGGCAGCAGAGACGGGGACGGGGCGTGCTCGTGGACCAGCGGCAGTGCTGCTGGCTGAGCTGTGTTGATTGCTCAAGGCGATCGGGCTTGACACCTGACTGGACTGCCGTTTGACTTCCTTGGCAGCTCCGCGACTCTTTCTACTAGTAATCCAGACACATGAATTTCCTGGTTAGCCTTAAAAAAACATGAAATTCCTGGCACAGAATTTTCAAAGAATGATTCTTATGGTCCGTTTCTAATTTTGATGGATCATGGCGATCTTATTTTGTCCGACTATTTTTTTTCATTTCTCTGTTTTGTTTCGACAATCCGTTTTCCATCCGTACTTCTGTTTCTATAAGTCCATCGCAACACAATTCAACAATTTGTGAATTGAAATATATTAGCATACGAGTAATCAGGGTGTTTTCCATACGACTGATGTGTAAATGCTGTCCAGGAGATGTGCATGTATGGTGGGTGAACGTGACTGCTGGATCAAAGCCATATGTTTAACCGATCAATCAGTGGTGAAGAAGACGACAAATGCTTATTACAAAATTAAGCAGCCATCTAGTCTAGCATTGGGGATTGGATTGACATGGATGTCACCTTCACATGCAACAGATTAATCCATGGGTGCGGTGATAAGTGATAACAAATTGTAGACCAACGGTATTGCCCATGTGTTCGCATCGGTTGGTAGGGATAGAGTTGGGTGAGGACGTATTGTACGACTTTATCCCTGTCTGACTTGTGAATGTCTGTAGTATTCCTTAAATTAATACAATTATCTCTCTTCCGCGGTAAAAATTGTAGACCAAACACATATTGGGTTCACATCGTGGGTTCGTCTTAATTTTCACTCGTCCTCGTGAGAGAATGCTCCTTTTATAAATTTGGATAGATCAACACGGCAACAAACTTAGCAGGGAAGGAAGATCATCGCATGCCTCTTAATTATCGCCTGATACTATTAGGTGGTTAGTAACTTCGTGAATCTTTGAATTAAGAGGGGGAAATATAGTATAGACTGA